CATCAGATAAAGACAACTAGATGTCTTAGCTAGGTTTTTATCATATTTTATTGTCCTAAATTTTTATTTTATTTTTTATTATACTTAAATTTCGATTAATTTTTTTTTTTAGTTAGTAATTGTTGCTAAATTATTTTTATTTTGGATTATTTTTATATTTTTAATATAAAATTAGATATATTTTAAATTTTTTAAATATTTTTTAAATATACTTTTAATAAATATAAATACTTCTAATAAATTGGACAAAGCAATATATGTTTAAAAAGTAAGAACTTTATATTTTTTTATTTAAATATGTTTTTTTGTTAATTTTCTTTGGTTATTTTTGTTAATGTATATTGCCGCTTATATATTATACAGTTAATATATGTTATATATATTATATTTAATACATTTTTTTTATCATATGTGTGTCAATAATATTTGTTTGTGATTTTAAAACTTACACACATTTTATATATTATATAAATAAATAAATATATTATGTAAATAAAAAAGTACTAAAAATCAATTCTTTAACCTTCTTCTCCTTTTCCTTCACAGGTCCTGATCAGGGCCATATAGAACATATCGTTACATTGTGGATCAGGCGCCTTAATAGAGCCTGATGAGGCAATAAGGCAAAAGCTAACAGGCCCGTACTAGGGCCGTATTTCATTTTCTACTCGGGTTCGCTTTCGCAAGTTCCGCAAATTTCGACTGAGTCGAATCGCTTGCACCCTTGCGCTCCATCCGATCGTTGATAGGGTGTTTCGCATCTAAAACAGGTTTCAAGTGATCAATCCTTGTATTCATTAATTAGAGAATTTATTCAATGTATGTGTGTGTGTAAAAATAAATAGAGTTTAAGATTTGTTACAAATTAGTTGTGTCTCTGTCGCACTCCTCACAAATCCTCCGCTTTGCATTCGCGTCTCTCTCACTCGCGAACACTTTGTCATCCGCCATTTTGGAGAAAATTGTCGCACATTATTGCGTTATGAATTTTCGAACACTAGACATCCAAACTTTTAAAATGGTTTTTAAAAAATCCTGCTAGCTGTATTACGTGCCGAGATATTCAATTTTGAACCAGACCGAATTGCAAGAATAAGAATTCCGTGGTCATAAGCTCCGCGGTATTTTAAAACTCCAAACTCTTCTTACGGTTGTAAGTGTCAATTCTGCTCTTAGCGTTATCCAGGATCAACGGCGTGGACGTGGCAGAAATCTGATCCCGTGTGTGTGTGTGCGTGCACCACTGGGATAAGGACCTCATGGCTCGTCAGGTCCACGATATTTAACGACTCCAAACCCTCCCGGTGGTGCGTGTCAGTGTTCCGATTAGGGACCGGTTGCTTAGCGTATATGTGGCTTTGCGCTTGCGCGGCGATGGAAATGCAGTGCCGACACACGTCGTGTGCAGAACTTTACGCGGGACTTTTGACAGGATGAGGTTAGGAAAATAGAAATAAGGTAAGGCTTTTTTATTTATTATAATTAAATTTATAAATAATTAAATTATATATATATATAATGTATTTTTGTACATATATAATGTATATATACTTTATTTTTTAATACATTAAAAAAATTTTTATTATTTTAATGAAGCTGGGT